AAATAAAATAAGTTTAGAATATTTTTCTTACATTTTAAAATTTCACTGTTCCACACTTACTTTACTATGGACTTGAACAAATTTATTTCAGTTTAAGTTTCATATACTCTCTCATCCAATTTTTTTCACATATCTTATCTTCTCAATGTTATTTTTGGTACAACTCCAATTATGGCCATCAAAACTTTTAATGAGACAATAGTTTAAAGTTTTGATCAATTCTTCTTTGACAAATTTTACAGTGAAAGAACATGACATTCTATTTGTTTTTTGGAAAGGAAAGGTGTTTTAAATAAGAGTGCTATCGAAATATAAAGGAAAGGCTTATAAAAATGTTTAATCTTTATAGTATAATAGAATACTAACAAAATTCTTCTTATGAGACACTTTGCTTAAGCAAAGAATATTTCTTGTATGACCTGGTTTCAAAATTTAAAATCCTTAAACATAGAGTGAAAAGTAACTCATTGACTTGTTATACCTAAGGTGAAAAACCCAACCCGTCAGCTTAAGCATTCAGACTATTCAAAGAATCAGAATCAGATATAGAAGCAGGAAGGGACCTTTGAGCAGTTCAACTCCCTCATTTTATAGCCAAGAAGCCGGTATCTTAGAAAGGTCAAGAGACTGTATTATTAAGTGTCTCTGATCTACCTGTGCTCCTTACACAACACTTTCATACTTCCCTATTTTAAATAAAAAATCATAGATTTACATGTATTGCCTATATACATAATTCTTTTACTTCATTCGTAAGGAGTCTGTACTAGCAACTAATAGTCTAGATTCCTTCTAGTTTATCCAGAAAAAAACTTTCAAAATATTTCAGGAATTTCAGAGGAATAGCTGCAGGATCTTCCAATCCTTCATTTCTTTAGATCTGTGGCTTTTACCTGTTTTTAGTCACTTCCAATTTGACAATCACAGCAGGCCATGGACTGAATCCTCGTGGGAACATGTACAACAGGGATTTCAGAGATTTCAAGGTCCTCAGGTAGAGATCCTTTGCACTATACTATCAAAACTGTGGGGGCTACTGAATGGTTCATGTGTAAAGATTCACAATCTATTTCTGAGATAAAGGAAAGTTTTCCCCATGACAGTCAGGAATGTTTTCTTTCATTAAATGAAAACTACATAATCCATTTATTTTACTTTTTTGCCTTGTGTCAAATGCAGCAGCTTCCCTTAGCCTAGATTTTTGTAACATTTCACACACTGCCCTTAGTAGCCTTCTCTCTCCCCTCTAGCACCTGGCTTTTATTCTTTTATTAATGTGTTATGAATTTGTATTTTAAGATTTTTCATTTTGCTTTTTGGAAACATTTATTGTGTTCAAAATAAATAATTTTCAGAATAGTGAATATGACTAATGTTTAGAATAGTTTCACATTTAAAATGTTTCACTATTCTACAGACTTTCTTTTAAAACTTTTAAAATTTAGGTATTATTTACATATAATAAAATGCTAAAATCTCAAATGTTTAGTTCCATCAGTTTTGACTTTTAAAAGTATAATCTGCTTTAAATTTGTTTTGAAAGCAAGAAGGTGTATAAATAAATAAATGAATAGTTGATTCATTCATGAGTTGATCTGTGACAGTTTTGGCAGGAGGAAACTGGAAGAGGGTAGGACTAAAAATAAGAAGAAAAGACGTTACAACAACTATATAGATAACAGTGAACAGGTTTAGTCCAAAAGAGTGGCAGTGAGAATAAAGAGGGGGCAAGGTAAAACTGCTAAACTATCAGGGTTAGAAATAACAAATATGAGACAAGAAGAATGGCTGAGGAGCCCAGTATATACATTTGTTTATAGTGGGTGTTCAATAAAGATTTATTCATTCAATAACTATCATTATGAGCCTATTTGAAATCAACCATGAACAATCCGATTTCTTGCCGCCTCAAAGCCACAGTTGTAGCAGAAGTTAAGTCAAGAACTCAGAAGTTACCCAAATCCTACAACTTCTAATGGTTAACTAATAGAATACTATTCTCTCTCAAACTGATAAAAATCAGTTATACAACTAAACGACTTATACCATTACTATAATGATTAATAAAACATCTACTTTCTGGACTAGATGGTTATTTACCTGGTTTCTTGATATAAGCAAAATTTGAAATAATGAGATTCACTAAATTTCAAATCAGTTATACATGTTATTTTACCCCCTAAAAAATCCCATATGAGAAATAAGTTGAGGGCCGGCCGAGTGGCGCGATGGTTAAGAACTGGCTTTGGACGCCAGGGGACCCCAGTTCGGATCCCACATATGAGGGCCAGTGACACTGCCCTCTACAGCTAACATGCTGAACAACAGCTCAACCTGGAGCTGGGCTGCTATGAGTTGCTGGCGATGGCATATGCTGCAGCCCCTGTGGCAGTGGGTTGCCATGGGCTACCATATGTAGCCAGCAGCCAGTAGCCAGTAGCCAGCTTGAGCAGCCAGCAGCTGCCGTGAGCCGCCGTCCAGAAGCCGGCGACTGATTTGTCTCCGCCCGGGAAGAGCGCAATGATGGTGCCAACTTGGGCCAGTGAGGCAACGTCCTCCACAACTAGACTGAAGAACAAAACGACAGCAACTTGTCTGNAAAAAAAAGAAAAAAAAGAAATAAATTGATTCACGGACTTAACTTTCAGAAGTGTACAAATCTTTCATTAAAATAACAGTTTGGTCAGAGTCTACCGAACACAAAAGTACCTATTAAATATATTCCTTCAATTTATTTAACTCCCTTTATAAGTAGCTACTCTTTATTTTTCAAATATTAACTTGAAATTTTTTCGAGGTATCTAATTTCACTTTGGTTCCTTAATTAGAAGTCAAATTAAATATCTCAAAAAATCCAACATTCGATGATCTTCCTTGTTGAAACAGACAGCCATCCCCTCTACCAATGTTCTTCCTTCGTAGAAACAACTTTTTAAAAATTCAAGTTTATTGATATGATGTATATATCAGCAAACATGTAAGTACCTACTAAGGGTCAAGCATTGTGTAAGAGTTAGAAATATAAACATATAATAATATACTGACAGTAAAAAGCTTACTTCAATAATTAGTGATCTATCCATTTTTAAGCACCATTAACTCAAGCATGATAAAACTATACATGAACAAACAGTTAAGTGAATAAGAAATCAAGTGAATAACAACATTAATGTGTGGAAAAATATTCCAATGCAGGATTTTAATTCTTCGTTTGAGAAAATGCCATATTCAAAATGAAAATAGAAATAAACAAGGTCAGGGCATATAACTGCTTAGATTTCATTATTTAATGATGACTAAAGAGGAGATTATCAATATGAAAGTAGATCACTAAGAAACTATAACAAAAAAATTTTCTCCAATGAGAATTCAAGCTTATTAACTATTCCTTTTTTCATTACACTCAAAGTTTCCTTCCAACTTCTAATATGAATATACTACCTGTTTTCCATACCAATGAGATACAAAGAAATTCAACCCACTAAAGTTTTATTTATTGATTCTAAGTAATACTCATTTTTTGTCTCACTTGATGATAAATTTCCTCATCAAAACAATAAAAATAAAACTGCAATTCAGGGGTGATTCATCAACAAACAAAAGTTGCCGAGCATAATAGTGTAGCTCAAATTAAAAAGGGACAAAGTCAGCATAAATTATATTACTGCAACATATTTAAATTAGCTAAGTAATTTATAAAGGAAAATAAATTGTTCTTAAGTTCCCTATATTTCTTTAAGTGATACCAAAAGGAAGTGAAAACAAATTGAACCAAACTAGAAAATAACAACAGTAAAATACAACTAGATCTACCTTTTCTGAAAAATAGTAATTTAAAATAAGAAAACCATGTTTGTGACCAGGGATTGTGATTATCTTTAGTCCTTTTGGAGGGAATAACATCTACATTCAACTACCCCATCCCACATACTTTCTTCTTCTGATTTTTTGGGGCTTTAAAAAATGAGTAAACTTTAAATATAAATATAGGAGCTTTCAAATGAAGACAAATTTGAACCATATTCCAATATATAGTAAATGTCATATTAAGAGGGGTAAGTAGAGGGCTGGGGAAAATGAATATAAAATTCATTTGAAAAGATGCAATTTCATTCTGTGTGTAAGTAAGATTAATGCCACACCTAACATAAATAATTCTTGAATTTATTCTTAGTGGCAGTGGTAATTTAAAAATCTCAAGTTCCCTAAAACATTAACTCAATCTTACAGGAAAGAGCAAGATGTTAGAAAATTGTTTATCGAAAACTAAAGAGATCCAGGACTGGAGCTACTCACAGTCACACCAATTAAACCAAATTAAATCTTGAGGAGCAATTATGAAAAACAGAAGCCAAGAGGAGCAAAATTACCATGGTTCTCTCAACCAAATCCTTTTTATACATGAAGATCAAATTTCTCTCTTTCAGTCACTAAACAGTTTTTTTAATGCTATACTATCACTAACAATTTCAATTTAAATATACACACTCATATACAGTTTATTTCTTTAAAAAGTCAGATCCCAAACACAAAACCAATCAAGAAAGAAATAGGCTTAATACTGATTTTTTTCTTTCTCAATTATTACTACCAAAAGAAAGATTAAAAGGAAAGAAAAGAAAACTCCCTGAGAGGTGGCCATCATCCCAGAAGTCATTTCTGCAGATGTTTCAGCAAAACAGTGACCATTTGCAAGCCTCCTAGGTATACTCCCAGCAGACACATTATCAGATGAAGGAACTGCAAACAAACCTGGCTAAAACCTTTCTTTGTCTAAGCCCAGCCTCTTCTTCCTGTGATGTCACATTACAAATCTAGTGAGCAAGCCTTTCTTTTTCACTTCAGAGAAAAGTCCATCGCACAATACAGCTGGTAACAGAGGAAAAGACCTCCTTCAGCAAGAGCTAACACGCCCAGGAATTTACTTCGGAACTTTTAAAAGACTCCTGTTTACCACCATCTGGGATCCTCTGCCGGAATACTGAAAAGGAAAACTTCATTTAAAAGGAGCAAAGCAGTACATGAGACCAACTGGGAATGTTTAAGTCTCTGAAACTCTGCACTGAAAAGCAAAATGAAATGGCTAACTTTAGCTTAACCGCTCTGGAGCATGAAGAAACTTTAATTTTGGATTATCATCCTGACTACTGAAACCCAAGTTTACCAGACAAGTACATTTATTCTGTTTCAAGACACAGCGTTTCTTTAACATTTATAATCCAATGAGTTGGCTTCAATGACTACATTTTTCAAAGGTTGCTTGTTGGTTAACTAAGCCCTGGATTTACAGATTTTCTGGTGACTAGAAAATGAGACCATTGAAGAACAAAGTGGAAACTTTATAACAAAAGATTTCACGTTTCTTTTGGAAGTTCTGGAGAAAAGGGAAATACTGATAAAACCATCCAAAGATCCAAAGGGTTTGCAAATACACTGGAGGTTTTAAAGTGGCCACAATCTGAATACCAAAGCACGCTGCTGCAGACCAAAGGACTTCAACACTTGTAGGCTGGACCTGCCTTACAATGGTAAGCCTTAACAGTTCCCTCTGCTTCTACGATGACTCCTTTAAGTACACTCTGTATGGGTGCATGTTTAGCATGGTGTTTGTGCTGGGGTTAATAGCCAACTGTGTTGCCATATACATTTTCCTCTGCGTCCTCAAAGTGCGAAATGAAACTACAACGTACATGATTAACTTGGCAATGTCAGACTTGCTTTTCGTTTTTACTTTACCCTTCAGGATTTTTTACTTTACAACACAGAATTGGCCATTTGGAGATTTACTTTGCAAAATTTCAGTGATGCTGTTTTACACCAACATGTATGGAAGCATTCTGTTCTTAACCTGCATTAGTATAGATCGATTTCTGGCAATCGTCTACCCATTTAAGTCAAAGACTCTAAGAACAAAACGAAATGCAAAAATTGTTTGCATTGCTGTCTGGTTGACTGTGATCGGAGGAAGTGCACCAGCAGTTTTTTTTCAGTCTACCCACTCTCAGGGGAACAATACCTCAGAAACCTGCTTTGAAAATTTTCCAGAAGACACATGGAAAACATATCTCTCACGGATTGTAATTTTTATTGAAATAGTGGGATTTTTTATTCCTCTAATTTTAAATGTAACTTGTTCTAGTATGGTGTTAAGAACTTTAAATAAACCTGTTACATTAAGTAGAAGCAAAATAAACAAAACTAAAATTTTAAAAATGATTTTTGTACATTTGATCATATTCTGTTTCTGTTTTGTACCTTATAATATCAACCTTATTTTATATTCTCTTATGAGAACACAGACATTTGTGAATTGCTCAGCAGTGGCAGCAGTAAGGACCATGTACCCAATTACACTCTGCATTGCTGTTTCAAACTGTTGCTTTGACCCAATAGTTTACTACTTCACGTCAGACACAATTCAGAATTCAATAAAAATGAAAAACTGGTCTTCTAGGAGAAACGACTCCAGGTTCTCCGAAATTCAAGCCTCAGAGAACTTTATTCAACATAACCTACAGACCTTAAAAAATAAGATATTTGACAGTGAGTCTACAATATAAGCTGCCTGAAATAAAAACCACTGGGACTTCACTGAGACAGACAGAACCTCCAAGTTTCTTCAACTGTGAAAAGTTTTTTTCTTGGACAACTATTTCTCCACCTCTGAAAAAAAATACGCACGTGGACATTTTAAAGTTTTTAGTATTAAAAAAAGTTGTATTCAATGTGTTAAGCATTCAAATGTATTCTATTCGTGTATACACTCTTATTTTATTTTTCTTAGCCATTTAGATTTGTATCTTCCTCTTCATTAAAAAAAAAATCCCTAAAAACGTTGTTCAAAGTCCAAAGAGACTATGATTTAAATCATGTGGCGACCATCTGTACTGTCTTTGAAGTTCTTAATAATTTTATACTAAATGATTTACAATTAAAGGTTTGTTTAATATTTTTATTCAACATATATCTAATTTCTATTTCAATTTGAATTGAAACTACTAGTTTCTTAAGTTATAATAACATAAATGAGAACGAAAACTAATTTGAAATTAGCGTTTTTAGAGTATTTTTCAAAAAATAGCTAAAAATGAAGTCTTCTGTAGAATAATCAGTAACACTGAAGATCTTTGAGTAGTTACACTTACAGATAATATTAAGGGTTTTGTCTTTCAACTGTATGCAATTTATAAAAAGCAGATGCTATCTAACTATATAATAGCATGCTTTAAAAATTACTATTTTGATCCACTGTCTGGCTATAACAACACTCAATTTCACAATGATATTTACCACAAAAATTGAGAAGGAAGAAACTAACAAAACGTTAAATGTTATTTTGCTGAGTGAATGTTTAAAAAAGTAAAATACCACTAACGGTACATTTTAAAGGTATATTTGTGTCATAATACATAACTTGTATTTTAAGTATTTTAGGTTAGAGAAACCCCATGGATAGTGAGATAGATAGTAAAATACAATACTCGGCACTGAGAAAGTGATCAATATATGTATTACTTCCCTTCTATCTTTTGAACATTTAAAGCCAAATAACGAATAGCTGAAATATTATTCAAGTAGGCAAAACGTTACTGTATGCCAAAATTTATGAAGTAAGGACATACATAGTTCCTTATATAAAAAATAGCAAAGCTACAGAGCCAAATAACTTAGTACAACTACATTTTCATTTCAGTAAATACAAAATAGGTATCACTTTGAGCTATAATTTAGATATAATGTACCAATTACACTGAAACTTTTTCCTTTTCCAACATATCTTTTTTTTTTCATTCAAGCAGTTCTCCAAAGTTAACTAAAAAAGAATATTTTTGAGAAAAGACATGTATTCAGCCTATCCGTTATTTACATTTTAATCTTTCAAGTCTTGAATACAACTTTGGACAAATACTCTTAAGATTTAAATTTGATTTTTTCTGTTTTCTGGGTTTGGGCAACTGCAATGATTTCAGAGGAATCATAGTTATTTGCTATTTCAATAAAATAACAGTAGGGGATTTTCTTTAGGGAGCCATGGTTTCCTTCAGATAAACCTAAAGCAAAATAAATCCTTAAAAACAAAACAAAACAAAAAAAAACTAGTGAAGAAATTAAGCATGGTCCTTTATATTCCAAAAGAAGTATATGTGCTGTGAACGTATTTTCTTTAATTGACCTTGTAGTACTTTTATTTGATATCACTCTTCGGAAAACGAATACATTTAGCACTCTAAACATATTTTAGTTGAAAAGCACCTAATGATTTACTGATATGGAGGAAAGGGACAGGCCGTTAACATTTCTCAGAATTTTCCTCCACTTAAAGATTTGTGAGCAAGATCTGAAAACATGGCTATTACTTTAAAATACAAGCAAATAAGTCTTCAGATAGTTGTTATTGCTGCACTCACTGGCCAAATTTTGCTGCTCTCTTGTCAACAGGAAAATGAATCAAAAGTTTTGTATAAGATTCTTCACAAAGAAATATGTAACAAGTATTCATTTTCTCATTTAGAACTTCAAATCCTGGATAAATCTTACCTACACACAGAGGGAGTACTCAAGTTACTTTCCTTTCTTAATGTTGCACTTTAAGGTACATTATATATTCCTAGGGTTTTTCTCTTTCCCCTTTACTCACAAAACTGTATTAATAGAACTCCGAAAATTTTACTTCTTGTTATCTTAAAGTGACAATACCAAGCCCTCCCTCCCCAAAAACGGCCCAATGTTTTCAACATCTTTATAAAGAACACATGATTTAACTATCATCCTTTCTACATTAACTCCCTTCAAAGGAACAGAAGATGATAAAATTTTTAAGGTGTGGAAAACAGGTTTCCAGCATCCTAATGATTGGTTCTGAACTTAGAAATCATCTTTTCTGAGAAAATGCCAACCAAGTAACTAATTTACCAAAACAATGTATGAAAATATATGCATTGTACATAATATATCCACACAAAATTTAAAGAAACTGATGATAGTATTTTATTAAGGAGTTTTGACTTTATACTCTATATTCAAAATACTAAAAGTAAATTTGAGATATAAATCTTAATTACAGATATTGGTATTTAAAGAAATTAGTCACTCAGCTGAGGAATAGAAAATGGAACACTAGCAAACTTCATCTCCCCAACTGAGAATAATTTATGAAAGGTATGTAGCTAGCAAGAGACTGAAGCAATAGCTTTTTGGTCTTACAATTCTGGACCACTGATGAACTAGATACCTGGTCTTTTGTCAATATATTAAGTTACTATTGCCTAGCAGAATCTTTACTACTTCTGAACACCCAAACTATTTTCGTGCCTATATGCCAATCCAACGCGATGACAAATGAAGGAAGATGTAACCTGGTGCTCTTAGTTGTGAATGAATTTTATACAGACAATTTTATAAACAGTGCTTACTAGTAGATGAATCTTAAGATAATCCTAAGGTAAACTGTTTTGAAAAAGCTCTTTTCTGCTGACCTGGAAACCAAATTATCCATTTATAACATGACTTCTAAGAAAAAAAATCCAGATTAAAATTGACTAATGGGGCCAGCCGAGTGGCTCAGTTGGTAAAGAGCGCGAGCTCTGAGCAACAGGGTTGCTGGTTCGATTCCCACATGGGCCAGTGAACTGCGCCCAAGCTGAGCTGCCACTGAGCTGTTCCTGAGCTGCCAAGAGGTGGCAGGATGGCTCAGCTGGTGAGAGCACGTGCTCCTAGCATGGGATGGTGGGCTACGCCGACCCCCGCAACTAAGATTGAACATGGCATCTTGAGGTGAGCTGCCGTAAGCTGCCAATGGGTGACCAAATTGCTCAGTGGTGAGACCATGTGATCTTAGGAACAAGATTGTCGGTTTAACTCCCACATGGGATGCTGGGCCACGCCCCCCCGCAACCAAGGCCAAACACGGCACCTTGAGCTGAACGTCCACAAGCTGCCAACAGGCGGCAGGATAGCCACTGGAGTTGAAGCTGAGCTAGCTGCGTCCTCCACCACTAAGATTGAAGGCTAACGACTTGGCTATTCCCCTTCCCCAATTCCCCAACACAGTTCTGCTTCCCCAATAAAAATCTTTTTAAAAAAAGGACTAATGGATAAACTTAAGGACACATGGACAAACTTAAGGACACAGAACATATTTAAATCAACCTGAGTATTTAATGATTAACAATATTATTGAATTATCAAAATTTCCAGACACCAACATATACATAATCCTAAAATCACTAAGTCTCAAATTTATATTTTATCTCTTTCTTCATCTTTTTTACCTGCTACCTATGTCTGCTACCCATTTCTGTCAGTGAGTTTTACAAAAGTACAAAGAATATCATTTAAACAGGGCAATAGACCAGGATAATAAAAGAATGTGAAATTAACTCCAGGCAAACTTCTCTACCAAGACTTTTCTTTCCTCCCTCCCTCAAAAACATTTATTCCAATAACTCCTTTTTATAGGATACAGAATTACCTCTTTCATCACTTTGTGTAATGGCAAGGGCAAAAACAGAATCCAAGAGACAGGATCCCAGAAGTAAGATAATTCGTGAATTTAATAATTAATTTCCAAACTCAAAACTTGCTTCACTTATATAGAGTCAATCAAGTAACTTTGACAATAATATAAGTTTAAGTAAATAGTGAGTATGAAAAACAAATATATATTGTATACTTACAGCCAAGTTACAGTTAATACTTACAGGGTGAATGTGCTGAGTTCATTACCTTCCTATCAAAATGACTTCTGGTAAATTCACAATTTAACTGAAAGAGCCTAGAATTCATGTGAAACGACTTCACTTTAGGCTAAGGAAACTGAAGAGCTAAAAGGCCAAGTAACTTGCATAGAGTCACATAACAAGTTGAGGTAGAGCCAGGATAAGAACTTGATTTTTTTGACATGTCTATTTCTTTAAGGTGGCTAGGCAAGCAGCATATGCAAAGGCCCTGTGGGAGAGAACTTGGTATACTGAAAGGATTAAAACAAAGCCAACATGGTTGGAGATGGATGTAGGGCTGAGATTTTACATGTACTTATAGGCCATGATAAAGTCATGTTAAGATCTGAGGAACTGTGGAAAGTTCTGAAGGATTTCTAGTAAAAGGAGAGACTGATCAGATTTAAAATTTCAAAAAGGTCCCTCTGATTACAGGGTAGAGATGCATTTGTGTTCAGCAAAAAGAGAAAAAGAATCACAATAATATCTATATTCAATTTAAATTTGAAGAGCTATTCTTATTCTTTATTTTGATTATTTCCTTTGTCCCTTATTAAAATGGCCTTTCTTTTTTGAAATGTTGGTGATGATGCATGGGAAGAATATTTTAATGTCATTAGTTGGCACAATTAAGTCAGTAGCCCTTGTGGAGAAACTGGTACATTCATACACAGCTGGTGGGAATACAACACGATACAATCCTTATGGCTAGGAAACTGGCAATCTCTCTCACGTACACACACACACACACACACACACACACACACACACACACTACCCTTAACTCACCATTCTCGCTTCTAGGTATTTACCCTGAATACACACTTTCAATAACATAAAAATACATATGTACAAAGTGCAGCATTATTTGACATTGTAAAATACTGGAAACTACCTAGATGCACACACATATATAGAAGACTGGCTGAATAAA